GGTTGATCTAAGTCAGGGCATGGCTAACTCACAGATCGAACCCTGAAACAACCTCTGAGCTGATCTAGTTTTCTATTGTTTAGTCACTTCTAGAAAGGCCAGGAGGTTTCCAGGTAGTGTGTGTTGGATCAGTGTGGAAAAGCTGGGAACTCCTTAAGGAAGGTAAATATTTGTTTACTCAATATAGTTAAATAATAAATTATATTATTATATAGTTAGGATAGTACACGCATGCTGATTGGTCGAAAACTGTGCTTTATTAGTGAACAGAGCACAGTGCTGACCCCACCTGCGCRCATGAGGTTCTACTAGATTTTGTAACTTTTTTATTTTGTGTAAATAAATTTGATATCAAAATAAAATTAGTAACTACATAATGAAACGAGCAAAACAGCTTTTTCCATGCTCTGTTCAGTAATAAAGCACTTAGGAAGTGCTGTAAGCACTCGAGAAGTGTGAAAAGCACTCGCCTAAAGCTCATGCTTCTCCTTACGCTTTTTTTGTGCTTRCGTCACTTCCTGTGTCTTATTTGTTAAATAATGATGGGATGATCATGAAACCACCTCTAGGCTGAAATATGTCAGGAAGTCATTACTCGTAAGTCRAATTGGAATTTAGAATGTTAGGTTTGGCAGAGGGAAGAAATTGTGTAGAATCCGTCAAAGCTGTAGAATCTGGGGGRAAACCCTGAAATCAAGGGCGACATAAACTGACCTCATAGGATGATGAGACCCCAGAGTGAGCGCACTACCACTACAACATCCTTGATATCAATGCCTTATGTCTTGTCAGGATTTGTTCAAGCAATACGAGAAGCCGAGCCCAAGATAATCAAGTCCATCACTCTGTCTAACTTGACAGAAACTTGCGCTGTTGGTGCGGCAGCTCTTGGGGYGAAGCACACTACATGTCACTTGCCAATAGACTATGACAAGATGGTCAATAATTTTTTCACTTATCAATGTTAAAGTAGCAATTTAGAAATTTTAATGTATGACATATAATAGAGTACTGAAGTGTGACRTCATCAAATTAAAAATTTTGCAATTCAGTTTTGAAATGTGCATATTTGAAGAGAACACACYGTTGCCTACATTTCTGCCAACTTTAAGGTTGTTCCGAGCTTCAGAAATGGAGATTTTGGGTACTTAAGCTTCAAAAATTCCCATACATTTTMTTTTATTTTGGATTGGATCCATTCACGTTAGATCCAGCCTCAATTAGGAGAAAATGTATGGGGATGTTTTGGTATTTAATTATACAGCTTCTCATTAATCCCATATAGGTAACTGTCCAATTATTTTCTTAACTGGACAGGTCTTGTTGATATGGGGTTAATTAGGCAGCTATATAATTAATAGGTAATGGGATTTCATGCTCCCCAATCAAGAAATAATTACTCAAAAAATTCCTCTGACTGCCAAATTGGACTCCGCCTACAGCCTCATCCAATTTTGGAAGTCCTCAGAATTTCCCTCGTTCAATTATTTCTTAATTGGACAGCATGGAGTCCTATTACATATACAAATTACCTATATCTCAGTCTTTTTTTCAATCTATGGGTCTGAAATTTTGGAYCATATCATATTTTTACCTACAGTTTCTGAGAATGTCATCAAAATCCTAAATGTCTTTAAAAACAATTTCTTGACGTCATCACTTCAGTACTTGACTTCAGAGATCGGCTTAGCATAGTGTTTTAAAAGTGAAGACCTCACATTAATAACCATTATATTAACCACAAAAATATTCATTTACAACCAATGCTAGTATACTAATGAAATGTTGCCAGGTGTGCAGGAAAACAAATAATATATAATTATGATTCTACTTACACTATGGGAATATTMATTTTGTAGTGATGTAAGAAGTGTCTAAACCTTGACTCGTAGTTTGGAAATGTGTTGAAACATCCCTAAATGAGTATACAGCTGTTTCAAAAGACGTTGAAGGGGTGAACGGCAAATGGGGATCACATGACCAAAAGACACAGTCAGCATGCATTAAAACACGAATAATCCAGGCATTTTAAATGGTTTTGTTGACTATGTAAACACTATTAAAGGGGCACTTGGATGAAAATTGGAAATGACTTTAAACTTGGGTAAACCAATCTATATGGCCCCAATAGTAGCCAAGCAACATATTTCTTGACAGCCAAAAGTGGGGTATGAAAAATATCAGTTTTATTCAGCAACTAAATTGTGAGTAAATGACGTCATTTACTCAACCCTATTGTTCTTTTTCCTTTTAAACCAAAATTTCATGGCTAAACTTCACAGGCTAAAATTTTCACTAATCTGGTTTACATAATCGTAATCGAGTCATATTATCCTCAAATACTTCAGTTATTTGGACTTTCAAAAATTGGGGCGTTTTCATCCAAGTGCCCCTTTGAAATATCTCAAACAACAACTTGTGTTGTTGGCAAGAAACACAAGTCATCTCAGGTATTCTTGCATCTAGGAATGACCTCCAATTGCCTATTACCTATTACCATTCTCCGCTTCAACCTATTTTGAAATGGCTGTATGCATGCATGCATGGAAAATGCATTTTGAATGAATGCTAGTGTATGTGCATTTTATAATTTTAAACACATCTAAAATATTTAAAAAATTTAGTACATTAACACTAATGTTAGTGCATACATTACATTAGCATGCAAACAAAATACAAAAAAATGCATTTGAATGGAATATCCCAGGGATAAAATCTGAATAAACATGTAAATCAAAAAAAAAAAAAAGAAAGAAAAAGAAAAAGAAGATGAAATAAAAAAATTCTAGCAATTACAAAATTGATATAGCTGTAAGCAGGTTAAACTTACTAAGARTATTTTTTTCACAATTTTTTTTGATGATGATTTTTGATAGGCAAAATATTGATAATAAAATTACTAACGAATTAAGCCTATGTATGCATGAGTAATGTTATGTAACCTTCATTTTTCATTGTACTGAAATACCTTATTATTGATGCCCTGGAACAACCTCTGGGCTGATCAAAGTGATCAGAGCACAGCTAACTCACACTTCTGCTACCACTAAAGCTAATACTAAAGTGTTTGTATTCAATATAACTGTAGACATGTTCGGCTAAGTTGGCAAAGAAAAGTAGTCAGTTGTAGGATCTGTATTGAACCTGAAAGTACTCMAGTATTTTGACGAGCATCTCTAAATTTCTTAAAGGATTTAGAAAATAGATAATGCTACAAGGTACTACATGCACTCTACTTAAATAAAAATGATTTTTAAAAAATTTCAAAAGATATTTATTCCAGCTGTTTAAATGAAGAAAATGTTGTATCTCCCTTGCAATGCAAGAAAGGATAACCCTGGATTCTCCTCTGGAATAGACCTTAAGTTTAGGAAAATCTACATACATGTAATGCCGAGTCTAGGAATTAAACTAGAGACCCCAGAGGTGACAATCGAGTGCACTGCCACAACGCCATCACTGATTCTTAAAGTTAACACCAAAATTAAGAAAAAACTAAAACAAGATTTTTTTATTAAGATTGTTGAATGAAAAGATAAATTATTTTACACATATAAGAGCTTGATGACCAGAAGAAATATTGATGGAGAAGAGAAGATAACATCTTTGGTTATAAAAATATGCAGTAATGGCTTTCCTTACAAACATTTGAGTACACCAACCCAACTAATAAAGAGACAACTTTGGGTTGAATAGGCAAATGACAAAAAGTTGTTTTAATGTAATATATGAGGGAAGATGTACATTAAAAACCTACCAAAGAAGCACATACGTGAATTGAATACCTTAAAATACAAGCCCTTATATCCAACAAGGTGATGTAGAAATTTGAATGTTTATAAACAACAAGAACAGATAATACAAGTTATAATGTTAATACTTGGCAGCCAAACGTTGGCCAAATTTGTTTATACAGTTATGAAGTCAACAGTCCTTAAATGTGTAAGAAACATGGYCGACAATATCATGCAAATTCTGCAATGCAAAGTTACTAAGATAACCATTCTGAGTGCATATGATTTTGATCGTTGCATGAAGCAGACGCTTTTGCAATGAAAAAATTTCATGTGGCAATACTTGGAACATTTGGTTGCCGACTCCTACAAAATATTGCACAACCATTGACATGCCACAACATGTAAACTGGATTTCGTCAATAATTGTGTCCACCAGGCAGCCTTTACTTGCCCTGTTCATCATCTTCAATAAAATCTTTAGCTTGTTCTATAGTGATTGCATCGATGTGGCTGACTTTGTTACGGAACTTAACTCCATAAAATTTATCAGCAGAATCCAAGAGTTCTGGGCGAAATGTTGTAGTAATGAATTGGGCTTTGTTTGCCAAGTTTCGAATCATCTCTGGAAAGGAAAATCGTTTGCGTCAAGTAAACGAAAACTTACCATCAATAGTACTTGAGAGATGAGGCGGTAAGCCGTGTGGGATGGGCTTGGAAATCATATAAGAACATCATATATAAGAATCATATAAGTAAATTACAAGCCTTGTATGAAATGACTGAAGAAAAGGGCCAATGGGCCTTTCGCAACTTTAAGTGGCATAAAATGAGCCAGCTCTACTAGAAGCTGTGGACAGCTGTTTCTGTGTTTTCACGGTGTATCTAGTGAGCTGGTAGAATCCCACGAAAATCAATAGTACTGTTACATTCTGTTGCAACCAATAAAAACGCTGCAATTTTCTCTATGCTCTCAAAAGAAATCCAAAACYGTTTTGCTTGCCAAGAATATATCACTGTCAGTATTACTCGAAGTTTAAATTTGATATTTGAAACAATTTCGAACAATGCGATTTTTGGAGCGAGCTCCTTTTCCTTTGCTAAAAAATTACCRATAACGAGTTTAGTAATGAATATTATTCAGTAGAATAGAACTAGTCAGACTGAACGAGGGAGTTCTTTGTCTACCGCATATAACACATGTAAATTTTTCTCTTCATGACTTTAGRAATGATTTCCTAGGAATGTGAGATGCTTACAGTGCGTCACTCTCACAGCACGGAAGTGACAACATCTGATGGGCCAGCCACAGCTTGAGGGGGGAGTTATTAGTGAATAAAAATGCTTGGACACGGCACTGTTAGGGTCCCAGCACATTTGTACCGTGAGTAATAAGTTTTACAAAATCTGCTCTGTYCTGACGTTGGATGTCATGTTGCCAAATTTGTGTTATCTCAAGATACCAAAAAAACTACCCAATTCATTTAAGTGTTTATGTCGTTCCGGCTACCTGTGAAARGATTTTGTCCTTGCTCACTCTTTTGAAAAGCAAGATTAACTTCTGAAGGCAAAAATTCTTTAATTTGAAGTCTAAAACTTACCTGCAACAGCTTTCCTAAACTGAGGATCAAGTGCTTGATCTATCTCGTCAAATAAATAAAATGGCGCTGGGTCACACTTCTGTATGGCGAAGATGAGAGCAAGAGCTACCAGGGATTTTTGGCCACCAGACAACTGGTTCATTTCTCGTGTCTCAGCTGATTTGCCGCTAAATGATACCTGATGAAGTGGAAAAAAGTATTGGGTTATGATTGGGTAATGAGAAAGGGACAAGATTAGGCTGCCGAAGGCTAGCATTAAATCGTCTTTGTTTCAYGAGGGTTGCACTTAATAGCTAGTGGCAAACAAACCTGTGGCTCACTTTGCAAGGCTGAATTGGAATTTAGAAATTGATTTTTATGATGGAAGAAAACCAGAGTACATGAAGAAAAACCCTTGAATCACAGGATAAACCAACAAGCAAAAGTCTTTAACAGTGTCAAGTTCATGCAATATTGAGAACTTGTGTAATTGGATGAATAATGTTTCCTGTCAGGAGCCACACCTACCTTGATGGCTACACCAGTGAACTGGTCAACCAAAGGGACGGATCGCTGAGATCCTTGGCTTTGACTTTGACTATCTTCTTCCTCCTAAGGACAAGTAAAAGACGATACGTTTTGTTTGCATCTCAGTATGCTGATTATCGTCATCATCATCATTTTGACATCATGTCATCAATCATGCCTTCTTCATCATCAATCATGCCTTCATCATCATCACTACCATCCCCACCATTATCTTGACATCACATCTTCATTTTCATCTTGACATCAGCACCATCAATTAATCCATATCATCATCATCATAACTGTTTTTCACAGTACCTGTGTGGCTTCTCCTGGATCTGTCTTCATTACTAAGGTTCCTTTGCCGTGATGAACAAGTTTTTCAAACACTTCACTGAAATACTTAGAAACCTGGATAAATAACAGTAAGATAATACTTTTTCTTATCAAACTCTAATTTTACAAAAGCTATTTTCATTGTATTAGCATCATGTATCATCATCTATGTTTCTATACCTGTTTAAAAGTGAATAAAATAGCTTCGTGTTTTCGTTGTTCAAGAACCTCCATCAAGTCAACAATAGCCTAATATTACAAGGCAAATAAAAGTGTCAGTTAAAAGGTTAATGGTCAGCCAGTAAAGCTACATAATACCACAGTACTGAAGTTACGAATAATCTATTATCAGGGTTAGCCTAGAATATGATTTTGTATGGAATTAGTTTGAATATTCATGCATTCCAGTGAAGGTCCGTGTAATTTCAAAGAGTTTGTATTGTTGAAGTCGTGCATTCTTCACTTTAATGTTGGAATATGCGGCCGGTTGGGTGGCTAACCCTGTATAAACGAGTCTGTCATCAAGGAACACAGCAGTCTTTGACTAATTCAAAAATGGTCTGTTACATCCTGGCCTGAAGCATTTTTTGCAGGCCCAAATATTTTACAAATGCATATTTAACTTTGTGGAAGGAGGAAAACCAGAGAACCAATAGAAAACCCTTGAAGGAAGATACTCAACAAACTCTACTCAAATGTTATGACAAGCTCAGAAATCAAACCCAGAGTCCCCAGAAGTGAGTGTACTGCCCTACAAATTAGATTGGGGGAGGGGGGTTGAATTTCTTACCTGGTAGCCGTTGTCCAGTTCATCTTTTCTCTTCATTAGTTTTTCTTTTTGTTCAGAGAAGTTCACAAACTGATCCAGGGCTTTCTTGTTTACATGACTGTATTTCTTGAGCTCTTCATTGCAGTGGTGGAGTTTCTTCCATAGCTGTTAAAATACAATGCTATTTATGATATCGAAAGTGGGGAAGAATGGGAGAGGAAGACAAAAATAAAGAGCGGAAAGAATAGAGAGGTGGAAGAGGAATAATGAAGAGAAGAGAGAATGGAAGAGGAAATGGGGAAAGTAAAGAAGAGAGGCAAGGGGAAGAAAAAGTGAGAAAAAGAGAGAAGAGGGATAA